GAGAGAGAGAGAGAGAGAGAGAGAGAGAGAGAGAGAGAGAGAGAGAGAGAGAGAGAGAGAGAGACGGTAGGAAAAGTCCCACACAAGTGAATGGAGAGAAAGACAAGTATGGAAGATGGCACCAAGGTAACATAGAGTACACTGGAGGGAAGGATATGCGGGAGGAGGATGGGGATCCGCAGGAGAGAGGAGGGTCGTATTGAGGAGCCACGGAAGAGGCTCACAGTGAGCGAGGAACGAGGACTCGTGCCTGAAAGGGTGTATCGGGTGACTGACAGTCAGCTTCAGTTGTGTGTTTATCACAGGGTCATCTCAGAGAATGAGATGCTGGTTTTATCGGAGTTGATATAAGACATGAATGATTTCTGATTCCGCATTTAAAAACATGCACACACTTGCATGTGCATGTGCATATGCGCGCGCACACACACACACACACACACACACACACACACACACACACACACATGTTATGATTCTGGTTGTTTGTTGCCTGAAGACCAACACTCACTCACATAGACTTCCAGGTATGCCCATACATACACAGAAGGAAGGGGAGAGGATAGGAGTATCACACCGCACAGGGAGAGATAAACACAGCGGAGGACTTGACCATGCGATATGACAGGGTACACTGAAAGTGCAATTCACTCCACTCAATCCTCACAACCAGTCATAAAGAAAAGCCGAGTAGATCACATCCAGGAAACAATGAAACGATGATAGTACAAACCCAGTATCACACTGTTTATTAAACTCAGAGTCTCGAATTGCCAGGATAACCTCAATACTACAGCGCGCTGCTGAGAAATGAGCAGCGCTTCACTCCCCAACCCTGAGTAACCACTCGTGACACCCCCGAGCCCGTGAAACATCAAGCGCCACCCAGATACAGCCTCCACAGGGAAGCGCCACCCTGAAACAGGCCTGTGAGGCCAAGCGACACTCAGTGGATGAAGAAGAAGATCAGCCCCACAGTATCTGATAATGACGAAGTGTCGGAAGACTTCCCAGATGGAAGTCTGCAGCAGCGCCACCAAACCCTGACAAGATGACCTCTGAGGAAGAAGCTGCAGCTATGGCTGCAGCGCCACCACCCTGGAACCTCACTCTGGAGGAGGGTCCAGCAGGGCACCAACTTCTCTCGCCTCCAGCAGACCTCAATAGCCCAGACCTCTGACCCGCGTGCTGGCAGAGTACAGCGCAGGTCCCAGCTATGGCCGGCGCTGGCTATGTATGTCTACCACAACGCTGAGCCATCACCACTTCCGGTTCACGCGTACCGCAGCAGCGATGTACTCGGTACCAACTGCCAAAAGCACTGAACCGATGTGCCCATCCTATCTATAGACTAAACTAGCCTAGACTCGACCTAGACCGGACTGACTGACCGACCGACCGGTACCGTTCTGTTTCGGCCTCTAGGGCCTTTCCCAACCCGGCTATAGGCTATAGGACTGTCTATCAGCTTAGGTCCTTAGGGCCTGTCTGTCCTAGAAGTAGCCTGGGCCTGCTATTCGCAGTTAGGATAGCTGTAGGGAATTCTGTTAGTACGGGCCTATATTTTCCCGAATTTACAAATATGTCCCTCACAAATTTCCTTACAGGCAGGTCTCTCGGTTAGCCCTCAGCCAAACAAAATTAGGAATCTAACCTAAGACGCAACCCGACCGAGGCAAGCCCCAAGCTTCGCCCTTGGCCCAATGTACAGTCCACTGAGAATCTGCAGGCTTCATTACACACACACACACACACACACACACACACACACACACACACACACACACACATACATGCACACACAGACACGCACGCACACACACGGACACGAGGGTTCAAGTTTTTTAGTCGGTGTGCAAACTTTCGGTTCATATGTGCTGCTTTTCGGCTGATTGACTAGTGCCACCATCACCTCTCTGAAGTTTAAGAGGCCAGTCTAAGCAGAACGATTTGGATCAATTTGATGCTTTCAACCTTACCCGTCAACAAAAGGGTTACTTTGAGACTCGAAAGTCAATTCTTGGCTGCAATTGCGCTGCATGAGAGCCTCCATGGAAAAGGATGAGAGTCATGACAGAAACTCTGCAATTTCGTCCAGCCGACATGTGGAGAGGTGCTTATACTTCAACATGGTAGGATGAGAGATAGACCTTTGTCTTGGGATGCCTTCTCTTGATTGGAATTTGTTTTACGGAAATTGATGGGATATACTGACTCTATATCGTCTTTGCCCTTTTTCATGCTTTCTTTTCTTTAGGATGATTTTTTCTTTCCTTAAAAAAAAAGAAAAACGATTCTTTTTTCAATGGGTAATCTAAATCCTCCACTCCATCTGTGTCTGAAGCTTACCTTTCTTTGCCCTTTTTCTTCTTTTTTTTTTCTTTCTTTTTCAAGCTGACCTTTCTGTGCCCTTTTTCTTCAGAATTATTTCTGTGCCCTTTTTCTTCAGAATTATTTCTGTGCCCTTTTTCTTCGGAATTATTTTATTATGTTCATCTGATGCATCTGGACTCGAACTTGGGCCTGATTCATACTTCAACAGTTCATGGGTCTGTATCAACTGAGCTAGGTTCGTTTGACCCTTTTCTTTGTCTTGAACTCGGGACTTGGGAGTTGGAACTCAGTTTTTGGATTTTTTGTGCATGTACTTGTACACTTTTTGGTGTGTGCGGACATAATGTGCCCTTCAGCCTACTTCTCTGCTGCGATGAACTCATGGATACATGTAGCAATGTACATGTACTACTTTCTTGCAGCCGTATTAGGAAAGGATGAGAAAAAGAGGAAGAAATACTTGTTTTGGGGAAAGTGAGTGCTTCAAAACCCTAAACCCTAAACCCTAAACCTTAAACCCTAAGGGGCCTAGACCTTGCTGTTTTTCTTCTTTTTTTTTAACAAAGGGGGATAGCCCCCAATCGTTTTGTATCCATCTGATTCGCAATCACAATTTGAACTCATAACCTGATTATCATTTCTGACGTATGTGTACTATTCAACCACATTGGCAGGGTCTTGTTGGTGGTGGTGCTACTGCTGTTTTTCTTTGAAAGTGTCTTTTTTTTTTATGAAAAGGAAAAAAAGTAAGAAAGAAAAAGGAACCCGTGAGGTTGTAAACCTTGGCATTGTTTTTCTTTTTTTTTCCTTTTTCTCTAGGAGATATGGTCGACAGGATTTTGCAATTTGAACAGAAAAACCTGCCCATCACATTAATTGGGAAGAAGTACCCAACCTTCTCTGAGTCCATTTATTTTGAAAGTTCTTTTGATTTTCTTTTTTTACTTTCGCCCTTAATTTTCAACTCTAAAATTATAAATACTAAATAGTGAATACTGCTGAATAGTAAATAGTAAAAATATTGAATACTTTTTTCTTTTTTTTTTAATTTGGACCATTTCTCGATTTATGCGTGTCATCCTTGCGCAGGGGCCATGCTAATCTTCTCTGTATCGTTCCAATTTTAACAGATGTCCCGAAGGACTAAAAATATTGAATATTGAATCTCATCTTCCTTTCAGTTTGAGTTTCAACCTTTTAAACTGTTGAACCATTATTGATATATTAATATGATATTATGGTTCACCGAACCTTTTAAGGGCATTACTCAAACTAGGACTTTTCTCAATGTATTTGACCGTGAATATGTCCTGATTCAGTCGAGAAAGTGTTAGCGGGACTCTTACTCAATTGGTGCATTTTTTGTATCGTGTTCCTTCTTATCCTTCTACTACATCTCATTTTGACCAACACAGAACATTGTAAGTGATTATTTGCAATTTATTTATCAAAAATTCAAACACAATGATCAGAAAGCAAGAAATTATTAAGAATCAATAAAAGATTTAAAAGATATGAAAGATTCAAATTTCAAAACCCAACCGGCGAGCCTAGCGCAGTCGATACATCCATGAACTATTGAATAATAGACGCGAGTTCCAATCCCGATGGACCTAGATGTATGCATGCTATGCAATGCCATAATATCTTGGGTCGATCAACTCGATGATAATATCTCGAGGTCTTCGCCCTTCATTAAAAATAGATAAAAAATAAACAATCAAAAAATTCAAAAATCATGCATTATTAAAGGATTTTTGTCGATGCTCTGCGAGTATCATATTGGACTGTTGGATTAGTTGACTTTTTTATTTCTAGAATTTTTTGAATTTATTGAGTTTCTTAAATTGGTTAAATTTGTTGAATTTTGTTGAATGCATTGTTTTCTAAAATGAAATTTTGCATGGTACGCATGCACTTAAAGAGTTTTGTGTAATTGCTCTGCTTTCCTTTCAAGGTTTGTAAAGAATTAGAAAGGCGTGAATCTCTAATGCTTATTGAATTAAAAAAAAAAAAAAAAGAGCAAATGCATTTACTACTTCATTATGTACCAAAAACAAAACAGTACTCATTATTTAATCATTTAATGTGATGACCATATCTGGTTAAAGTTATTCATTATTTACGATTTAGATTAAAAAATGTAATAGAAACAACGCATTATTTCATCCTTACAGTATAGTCTTTGCTTATTCGTCTATAATATAGAGTGTCTAAAGTCTATGCTACTCTATAGACTAGTACAGACAGTAGCAATACATGTGGAGTGCAATCTGTTTCAAACGCTTGCCCGTGTGAAAGCTGTTTGGAAAACCATAGACATTAAACATAACATTGATTGAATTCATTCATTCAATTTTTTTTGACATTCATTGAATTCCATTGACTTATGAATTTCTCCTTGTTTTTTTAATTATGTTTTTAACATTCATTGAATTTGATTCCTTCTTATGAATTTTCTTAAAATATCTCAGCAATTTGTTTTTGGTCATATATTGTAATTGTATTTGTTTTTCCAGGTACTTGACAATTATGCAGATGGTTCAGTTTGTCTTGTTCATTGTGCAATCGGTTTACGGCATTTGGTATCCAAACACCTACCCCAGGGGAATTGCAAAGGTATGGATATCAATCCTCTGCTTACCAATCTGACTTACCAATTTGACTTTGTGAATGTGTGCGTATGTTCTTGGTGGGTCTATCTCCTTTGCTTCTTTGCATAGACGACATGTCTTTCTCACTTTTTTTTATGTCTCCTTTTTTGAAGGAATGAGGAAGATGACCCCTTTTACATATATGATCATCTCAAATTCTCAATTGCTGCATTTGGATAACTCTCTCTCTCTCTCTCTCTCTCTCTCTCTCTCTCTCTCTCTCTCTCTCTCTCTCTCTCTCTCTCTCTCTCTC